CTTCCGATCTACATAGTACTTGAAACTCTTGCAAGAGCAATAAGACAAGAGGAAGAAATTAAAGGAGTAAGAATTGGAAAAGAAGAGATCAAATTATCCCTTTTTGCGGATGATATGATATTTATCTACGAGATGCCAAAGTATTCCACCAGAAAATGCCTAGAAATTATTAACACATTCAGGAAACTGGCAGGTTATAAAATTAATCTACAAAAGTCTGTAGCCTTTCTATATACCAATAACAAGCAATCAGAAAGAGCACATGGAAACACTCCCCTTCACAATAGCTGCAAATAAAATAAAATAAAATAAAATAAAATATCTCAGAATAAACCTGACATTAAAGACATTAAAGACCTCTACAATGAAAATTTTAAATTGAGGAAGACATCAAAACATGGAAGGACCTCCCATGCTCATGGATTGGCAGAATTAATATTGTGAAAATGACCATCCTACCAAAAGTCATTTATAGATTCAATGCAATGCTAATCAAAATCCGCATGACATTGTTCATAGAATTGGAAAAAACCATCCTACGATTCATACAGAAACACAAAAGACCTCGGATAGCCAAAGCAACCCTGAGCACTAAGAGCAATGCCGGGGGGATTATTATACCAGATTTTAAGCTGTATTACAGAGCTATAGTCATAAAACAACATGGAACTGGCACAAAAATAGACCCATAGATCAATGGAACAAAACTGATGACCCAAATATGAGTACATGCAATTTCAGCCACCTGATATTTTACAAGGGGCCAAGAACATTCACTAGAGGAAAGACACCATGTTCAGCAAATGGTGCTGACAGAACTGGATCTCCACCTCTAGAAGAATGAACCTAAACTACTATCTTTCACCTTGCACAAAAGTCAATTCCAAATGAATCAAAGACCTCAATGTAAAGCCTGAAATTCTTAAACTGTTAGAAGAAAACAATGGTAAAAACCTACAAGATATAGGTGTCGGAAAGGATTTTCTAAACTGGACATCAATTGCTCAGGAAACACAGTCATGAATCAAGAAATGGGACCTCATTAAACTAAAAAGCTTCTGTACATCAAAGGAGGCAACCAGGAAAGTGAACAGAAAACCCACAGAATGGGAGAAAATCTCCACTAGTGACACATCCGACAGAGGTTTAACACCCAGAATATATAACAAACTCAAAAAACTGAGACTCAAGACAAGAAGTAACCCAATTAAAAGATGGGCTAAGGATCTGAACAGAGAGTTCTCAAAAGAAGTAAAAATCACTAAGAAGCATCTTAAAAGACATTCAACATCACTAGTAATTAGGGAAATGAAAATTAAAACCACTTTAAGATTTCATCTTACCCCAGTTAGACTGGCTAAGATCAAGAGAACAAATGATATCAAATGTTGGAGAGGATGAGGGGAAAGGGGAACACTCATCTACTTCTGGTGGGGCTGCAACCTTGTTCAACCCCTATGGAAAGCAATGTGGAGAACTCTTAAATAACTACAAATGAACCTACCATTTGACCCAGTTATACCACTTCTTGGCATATGTACATCCATGTTTGTTGCTGCTCTTTTCACAATAGCTAAGAGATGGAAGCAACCTAAGTGTCCCTCAATGGACGAGTGGATAATGAAAATGTGGTTCATTTATATGATGGAGTTTTACTCAGCA